CCACAAGGATCTGTCCTAGGTCCTCTGCTATTTTCAATATACATGTTGCCCCTTGGTAATATTATCAGAAAATACGGGATTCGTTTTCCACTGTTATGCTGATGATACTCAACTACATATCTCAACAAGACCAGATGAAACTTCTAAATGATCTAAGCTAACAAAAATTGAGGTAGCACAATGAGGTCTGTTGACATCGACGAGGCTAAATGTCAGGGCTGCCAAACCCACACATCACCTCTGCTCGTGGCTCGGCAGCATCCGTCGTTTTCTAAAAAGCACCTGTCGTTTTGGTGTTTTGGCCCCGGAAGGCTTCAACAAGGCTCTTTTTGCAGTTTTCTTTGCAAGTGTCAGTAAAACTGAGCTGCAATTTCACTTAAAGAGGCCTTTATGGTACTTACGGCTGCTGCCCAGTTCCTCGAATAGATACTGCACCTTCTCCCACTGAGTGGAGTTCCGGTTTGGCGGAGATTCCAATGGAACAAATGTCCTGCAACAGAAGTTCAAAATTTCTCAATCATAATGTCATGATTTATATACTACTGTTTAAAAGTTTGGGATTGGTAAGAGTTCAGATTGTGGGGGGATTTTTTTTTATATGCTTATCTAGGCTGCATTTATTTGATCAAAAATACAGTAACACAGTTTTATTGTAAAATATCATTACAATTAAAAAAAAAAAACTGTTCTCTATTTTAATCTATTTTAAAATGTCATTTATTCCTGTGAAGACAAAACTGAATTTCCAGTCTAGTCTTCAGTGTCTCATGATCTTTCAGAAATCATTCCAATATCTTTCTAATAAATCTCACTCAGTGGCTACATACACACTGCAACATAATATGGTTGTTAGTGTTACTCCAAAAAAAAAAAAAAAAAAGACAAATTTATGGTCACACAGCAAACACAATCTCTTCAATGAAACAAACAAGTGATCAAATTACAATAGCATAATATGCAATTTTATAAAGCAAATATATGAACACATGAATATACAAATTCAAAAATATTTAGGTTTCTAAACCATCTGTTTGTATTGGTCAGCTTAAGAGTTGTGGTGACACATCCAATAAAAGTTACATTTGAAAATATCAATAAAATACATCATTTATTATGAAAGCAAAGCATCAAGATAAAAAAAGTTTTGCTATACAATGTATTATATAAATTAAACAGAAATATATTTCATGTCTACAGTTAAAAATAATATTTATTTGTTTTATAAAATTTAAAGGGATATCATTTTATTCATTTTTTATTAATGTATCTGGAGTAACATTCAGATTAACATGGGGGGTGACCACCTTAATGTTGAATATATCTTTTTCTAGGCCACTGAAGAAAAAGTAGGAATTTTTATCTTATGTGAGTAATACATCATTTAAAAACATTTCCTCCAAATGTATTGTACAACTTTAAGTGGAGCACCTTTACCCAAAAGGAAAATTGTTGTCTTGCATATATGTATGTCTGTGGCTGACGGCACGAGTGTGTTTACTGTGAACTATCATGTAGAGATCCTTTTATACAGCTCATGTGATGTATCGCCGCAAGCTTTAAAAGCAACTGAGGATACAGTATGCTCACATTCTGAGTAAATATCTGCAACACGACGAAAGCCAGTCATCTCCAATGAGGAGAACATCACTCACAAGGTGAGGTTGCATAAGCAAATACCTCAGGCTACAGCTGGTCTAAAAAAAAAATCCCATGTTTTAACCATAAGGTTCAGTTTTAGTCTGTATCAACTCTATAATTGGTATGTCCAGAAATTATAACTGACATACAGTATTGGGGGGTAACACATTACAAGTAATGAGAGTTTTGTAATCAGATTAATTTTTACAAGTAACTAGTAAAGCAACGCATAACTTTTTAATTTACAAGAAAATATCTGTTACTTTTTTCAAATAAGTAATGCAAGTTACCTCTACTGTCCCCGTTTTGAGAGAAATTGAGAGTGAGAAGCAAAGGCAGAGGCACTTCATTCAGCCTGAGGCTTATTAATTTCACTTTTAGTATGAAAGGGCCTTTACAGTTGCCAAAACATTCATAAGCAGGAAATTAATAAGCAAGCCCAACTCAGATGACAAAAAAGTAATGCAAAAGTAATGTAATGCATTACTTTCCATAAAAAGTAACTAAGTAACACAATTAGTAACTTTTTAATGTTGTGATGCAACATTATAATGTATTACTTTAAAAAAATAACTTTCCCCAACACTTCTTATATATACAGTACCACTCTTTCCGACCTCTGCTTATCCAAAAAAATATATAAATAAATAAATAAATACAAAATAATAATAATAAAATAATGTTGCCAATAACAAACCAGGTTAATGGCACAAATATGCAATTCAGAAAGGCAAAAATTAATAAGAACATATAAATTAGGAAAAATTGAATGACTATTAAATGTCTGACACTAATGAATAAAAAAATCATTAGGGCTGCACAGCTAATCAAAATAATAAAAATATATATAATGTAATAAAGTGTGCACATGCTGTTTATTATTATTATTATTGAGGTACTTATAAGACATTTTAGCATTAATAATAATAAACTGCATGTTCACCCTTATATTTATATTATAAAATAAATACCATTGATTGGGTCTATTCATCCTGTTTCGTTCATCCTGTTTGTTTGTCTGAACATCTAAGCAACAATATTGGATGTTAAATGTCACAATATATGACAAAATAATCATGCAGCCCTAAAGGACACACATAATATCTACGGTTAACATCCAATCAGCAACTTCAGAAGCAAAAAGGGCCACATTCAAATCACAACAGATGCAAATGGCCACAAAATAGGGTCACTTTGATTTTAAATGCAGCTACATCATTCAGCATCACTGGCATAATCTGAGCGAGTTCAATTGACGTGTCACTTCAGAAAAGCTGCGTTGTGCATGAAAATGTCATCTTTTAGGGGTGTCAGTAAATTACATTGTAAACTGTACGCACAGCAGGACACGGTTTAATAAATCGACCAAGGACTCCGTGAGGGTTTATGCAAAGGTACACAAGCTCAAAGACTTTACACGTATCTGACCTTTGTATCCATTTTCCCTGTCGTTTTCCATCATCAATTAAGGTCCAAAATCCTATGTCAGCCAAACTTACTGTATATAGTTAACTTGCACTCTGCCATTTAAATGATATCGCATTAGACACTAAATTAAAAGCACACAGCCAAATTTGTAAGCAATGATTGGTGGCTAATTGCAGGCTAATAGCCCAAATACGATCCATTGACTAAGGATCTGTCACGGATGTCCTCATGAGGAACCTCTTGAAACCTAAAATGACAAATGGGACACTTTGTGGTCTCGTGGACTTCACAGACACGCAGTAGAGAAAGGCCACGTGAATGCAGGTCCCCATGAAGACGTCTATTTGGGACAGGGCCCATGTGTCTGGAGCTTAGACCAAGTATGGCATTGATAGAGTGCACTTAGAGTTCTCCAGACATTTTGACGGGTACGAGAGATTGAATGGGACTACAGAGGCTGGGAAGGGTCAGCTCTCCATTTATAAGTCCCATCCTTAGCACAGACCAATCAAAACAGGCAAACAAAAAGAAGTCACTCTCCAAATGAACAATCACATACACAGAGACTCTGCGTCTCACAAAGCCATCACGTCCTCCCACATCAGGAACCCTGAGACACAATACTCTTGGTAAAACACTGCACTGGTTCAAAAGGTAAAATTAACACCAAATTGCTTCTGTCCGAAGTGCCATCCCCACTTTTAAATTTGGTCCACGGCATGTCCCTCTTCCCATTCTGTGATCAAAGTATCCCATCCCACTGGGTCTATACGACATGAAGGTGTGATGAAGGTATCCTGCCCCACAGGAACACTATTTAATGGTTGAGAGCCACCTGGTGAGCAGACGTGTTATTCTTGCAGCGGCAAAGAAAATCCATTATGTTTATGCTGCACGAGCACTGCTGAGAACAAAAAGTATAAACTTGAGGTTAAACGCGACAAAGCCATGCCATGTATCTATACACATTTAGACTGCATGTTGGTTTTTAGTTCGGTTAACAATTGTAACACGGCTTGATAAACAAAAAAAAGTCTTTCAAGGTCTTGAAAATTGCCAAGTTTAGAGATGCTAGATACTTTGACTTTGCCTTCGGAGCTTGTTATTTACAGCACCACCTTTGGTTCATGTGTTGTGCAAAAATGATACCAAAGACATGCTATTTCAAAGTGATACCAACTATAGTCTTTATTCCAATGTTTCAGCAATAAAAAGTATTGCTTATTAACTACAAATAATTACTTTTGTTAGCATAAAGCTTCTATTTTACGTCTGTAATCTGACAAATTACAGGATATACAATGAGAAAAAACATCAAGACATCTATCAAGAATCGTCTGAATCATAAAAATGGGGGTGGTTTTGGGTCGATATGATTTTTATTTCTTTATTTATGTATTTGAAGGTCTCTTATGCTCACTTAAGCTGCATTTATTTGACCAACAATACAATAAAACAGTAATATTGTGAAATATAATTTAAATTTAAAAAGAACTGTTTCCTGTGATGGAAAACAGAAATTTCAGCAGCCATTATTCCAGTCTTTGGTGTCACATTTCTTGTATATATATATATATATATATATATACACACACACACACACAATACTACTCAAAAGTTTGGGATCAGAACAATTTTTAATGCTTTATACAGGAGTTTATTATGCTCATCAAGGCTGCATTTATTTGATCAAAAATACAGGAAAAAATTTAATATTGTGAAATATTATTATGATGCAAAATAACGTTTTCTATTTTAATATACATTAAAATCTCATTTATTCCTGTGATGCAAAGCTGAATTTTCAGCATAATTACTCCAGTCTTCAGCGTCACATGATCCTTCAGAAATCATTCTAATATGCTGATTTATTGTCAGTGCTGGAAACTTTTGTGCTGCTTAATATTTTTTTGGAACGTGTGATACTTTTTGTCAGGATTCTTTGATGAATAATAAGTTAAAAAGAAGAGCATTTATTTAAAATAGAATCTTTTCTAACAATATACACTACAGTTCAAAAGTTTGGGGTCAGTAAATTTGTATTATTTATTTTTTTTAAAGAAATTAAAACTTTTATTCAGCAAGGAAGGATGTGTTAAATTGTTAAGAAGTGATAGCAAAGATTTATAACTGGAGTAATGGCTGATGGAAATTCAGCTTTGCATCACAGAAATAAATTATATTTTAAAGTATATTAAAAAAGAAAACACTATTTTATATTGTAATAACATTTTGCAAGATTACTGTTTTTTTTCTGTATTTTTGATCAAATAAATGCAGCCTTGATGAGCATAAGAGACTTCTTTAAAAAACATTACAAGTCTTACTGATCCCAAACTTTTGAACAGCAGTGTATATATGTATATATATACATACATGGGCGACATTGGGGGTGGTCAAGGGGGGGCAATTGCCCCCCTAATTGTTAGTCATGGAATCCCTGATGTCAGCCCCGCTGCAATTGGAGCGCTTAGCCAAGTACTAAATACCCTCAACGTGTTTTTGCAGTGTTGAGCAATGTAACCTATCACAGACATATCTGTTGATTTCTTAAACGCAATGGCCAATCAGAAATGTTTTGTCAAGCGTTTGAAAGCACCACAGTTTTTAAGTACAGCTTTGCACGCTCGTGAATCATCTCATGACTAAATGCAGACACGATGTAAATAAGAGATTGTGCAGTTTAGAGAGCTTCATATAACGGAACTTTGTAAGATCGCGATGAACGATGATGGGAGAGAGCTTTGCGCACTTTCTAGTAGTGTTGTCAAAAGACCCGGTATTTCGGTACCAAGTCGGTGTTATTAATAAAAATGTTGTTCAATTAGCATGTTTTTGTGTTTTGCTTTGGTACCGAAATTGGTACCGAGAACCGTGGATTTTCACTGGTATTGGTACCGAATACTGAAATTTTGGTACCGTGACAACACTACTTTCTAGGGTATAATCCATTCAGCATTTGTATGAAACTTTCATTTTTCGGACACATAGGCTTCACCCTGCAAAGTTTCGGGAATGACATCCGCATATTTATGCGGGATTCACTCTCGAAATAGCAGTGATTGGCAATGGACGGAACATAAAATGTTGATTTAATTCTGGAACCGGTACTGGCCAAACCTCCACAGACAGCGCTCGACCCGAGCGAGATCTAATTCATGGACCAAAAGCGTGTGTAAATTTATTGAGATCGGGACCTATCAACCAGTAATTTCATTTCATTTCCAGTAACGTACAGTAGAAAGTTCAGCAATGAATGGTATGCGATTTATGACAGAATATAGTCCCACAACTGATCGTTTATTTTTCTCACGTGTCTCGCCTTTGGTAACAACGATTAAAAACGGAAACATTTCAAATGACACGGGAAAAAGACACTAGGGCTGTGCAATTAATCACATGCGATTGTCGTGCGCATCTCGTCAGTAAAGCCGGTTCTGTGTTGGATTGACTGTTTTGATGCTTATATCTGAAAAAAAAAAAATAATTTGTTTTTATTTATTTATTTCATATATATATATATATATATGGATGGATGGATGGATGGAACTTGAATAGTAGTGTACCAGAATGGAGATAGCTGAGAAGTGGAGCAAGAAAAGACCACAAAGACTAATATTTATATTTGGAATAACCTGCACTCAGGAATCATGCACAATAAGATCAGGAACAAGTATAAATAGGCTCAATTTTGAGTTTATGTTAACATTAATTTGATGTCCTGCAGTAGATTTTGAGCTCTCTGGAAATAAACTGTGCATCTTATTTACTTTGGAATATATCGATTTTAGTCTGCTAGCAGAAACTACTGATCCAAAATTGTTCAAATTACTGGTTCCGATCTAAGTTTATTGACAATCATTCATAATTTGGCTAGAGCCCTTTGTATTCCAAATTATGCAGAAATCCCCCAGAAATGTAATATTATCAGCATTTGATGTGCCCCCGATAGAGATATCGCTCTACTAAACTAATAATGGCTTCTCAGATTATAGCTACAGTTTGTTCTCCAATTCCACAAAGGTAATCTTAGTACAAAATCATCAAATACCGGTTATTATCAGCATTCTGTCCAACAATTTCCCAGTATTCTCACACCTGCTGTACCCCCGATGGAGGTTAAAGATGATGAGTGGATGATATAATAATGCTCACATCGACCACTCCACACACACATGGACACACACACACACACACACACACACACACACACACACACACACA